TTAATCAATTCCTTGAGATTCCTTGTCATATCTGATATTAGGAAGACAAATTCTGCATTTGTCAAGATACAGTCTGGTTAAACTGGTTTGATATTATCAAATATCTATTGATCAAAGGCAAGAGAAAATGGAAGAGAAAACTGCTCTCTTACAAATCACAAAAGCAGAGATTCTGCTTCCTTTAGGGTTTACTTCAATTCAGTGTATTTTATTATAACCAGTATATCCCTTTGTGTTAGTGTTTAAAACCTAAAGTGTTTGTGTTATTCCTTTGCTTTATTTTTAGTTACACAAATGATGGATAAATATGTTCTCCTTGTAAAATAATCAGAGCCTTATGGATAAAATTTGGCCACTGTTCCCAATCCCCAACAACTTCTGGAAAGAAACTGAAACATCTTTGGTCCATCTTGCTGCTTCTGGTCTTTACTCTTCCAGGAAACCATGAAGGTAGACAGACTTCTGGGCACTATTCTAAGCATTAAAAATAAAGTCAACAAAGGGCCTTCCCCAGTTAAGAATATTTAACTTGAAGATGGAAGATGAAGCAGAGAAGGACCAACTTTAACATAATTTCCATTGTTGGTTCCTGGACTAGAAAGATGAGTAAAGTTTCCCCCCAGGACTTATGCCATATTCTACCATCAGCTCCAGCAGGTTCTATGCAAAATAAGATGCTGGGTGAGAAATTCTCCTCAGAGGTGAATCCATCTGTCTCTATGAGCGTGGGCCCAGAGAGCAATCATCCATCACTAATGGCTCTAAGTAGGGCCCCAAAGGGACCCTACCCCAGACAGCTCTGGCAGCCAGTTCCCCCGAGATAACAAATGCTACCCTGGGGTCATGGAATAAACACAAGCTAAAAGATCCATAGAGAGACACCATATGTCCAAGCAGACTGTGGGTGCCTTCCAAAGGGAAGTATGCTAAGACAACTCATGTCCCGCTTGTCAGAATCAGAAAGACAAAATGTCCTGGTCACAAGAGCCACATGGTATACACTCCAGAAATGTTGTATAATTTTTCTTTATCACTGAAGAAAAGGAGATTTGAAACCTTGTGTACAATGAGAGGCATACTTAAACTGCAAGTTCCTTTAAAAATTTCTTTTGATATTTTAAAAACTACCTTTTAAGCCAACAGATCAGGTTTATACCTTTATAATAACAAACAGACAAGTCCAGAAGAAATACCTTGTCTCTGAGGAGCATATTCCAGAATGTTCACTGAACCAGAAGAAGCAGGCCTTGTAACCTGTGAAAGTCATACATCCCCAGAAAGCAATCACACCAACTCTCACAGGCCCTGTTCAACTGGTTTGAAGTCATGCAGTGTTTACCAGTGCTTTCTGAAGCAGTAAAAGGAGATTGTAGGTTTTCTACACTGGAGTGAGGATTACTGGAGAATCAACCAAACAGAGAAAATTCACAGAAACAGTGGAATAGGCTGCGGGCAAGATAAAGACCTAGGAATTCAGGCCAGGAAAGAGAAGGGGGAGGCTTCTATCTGTGTCTTAGCAAGCGATCAGACCAGTTGTGGAATACGAGACTGAGATTTTTAGATGAAAAAATTCCATCCCTAGAGGTTTTAGATGGTGGATTAGATAAATACCATGTTGACCATCCTGTCATTATGACCTCAACCTGCCAAAGCCCACTAGAATGGCATCTATAAACCTTTAGAGAAATGGACCTAGAGCATGGAATCACCACCTTGGTTCTTCTTAATGCCCCTAAGATCTTTCATGGGAGAGCTCCAGGCCCCTACTCTGCAGGGTAGTAAGCTTCCCTTCCTTTCAGATCTTAGAATTCTCATTGAACCCAGGACCAGCAGATGGTGTAATGGTTACATCACTGAACTCCCATGTAGTCAACTAGGGTTCAAGTCCAGAACCTGGTAGCTTAAACTCACACTGGGCGTGTGTGTGTGCGTGCCCAAGATCCCAAGAGGAGAATGGAGAAGAAGGGATTGTGGTGTGAC